AAATGAATGAAAATCAAGTCAACAACATGTTAATAACATGTCAATAACATATCAATAATGATATGAATAAGATAATGGTGTTGAATTGGAGGAGACCCTCAAGTCAATAACATGTTAATAACATGTCAATAACATATCTCTGGCGCTAGAATATATATATATTTTTTGAAATAAATATTATTTCCCTTGTTGCTAAATTTGCCTGTGAAAAATGAGAAGATATAATAATAAAGTCATGAATAAAAGTGCAAAGCATTTGAAATGAAGGTTGATCCATGATCATAGTAGCTCACTGAAGAAAAAGCTAGAAAGAAAGAAGGATGTGGCAATGGCTTAGCAAGCAGATAGCAGAGCAAATTCTTTGCTTTGCTTCCTTCCACTATCTTTCTTATTTATTTATTTATTTTGTGTTGTGTATGAGATGACAATAATTGTCATGTGTGTGAAGTGCAGAACTTGCCTAGATTGCACTCACACTCACTCATGCATCAACCATTGATTGGAGTTTGTATCCAAAAATAAAACACATGCTATTGGTTGTAATTCACAGAATCATTGCAGTAACAGGTATTTGCACAAAATTTGTCATATTGCTTTGATGATGTTAAAGGCTGTGATCAGTAATCCCCATGCGCATGTACTTCATAAAATTTGTAATGTGCCTAGTTGACTAGTTATGTAAATACTAAATACCAATATGATTGTGCAAATACGTGGTGGTAGTATATGTGTTAACGTTATTTCATCTTGTATTTTAGGAAATGGGATCCAACGTGCAGCTGGTATGGCCAGAGTCAGAGGCATATGCGTCACGGGTGAACAACTGCTCACATGCAAATTCAACCCTAGCTGCAATTCGAGCGAAGTTGAGTGCGGAACAATTAGAACAATTCAAGACATCATGCTTTGGCCATCTTCTGAATATAGACAAGATTCAGTTTAGCGGGCAGATTGTGCATGGAGTTGTGTTGCGTCGAGTCGCGGGGCAGGGTGTGAAAGACTTGGATGGACTGAGTTTCTTAATAGGGTGCGACGTTGCTCAGTTTACTCGTCAGGATTTCTGTTTGATCTCGGGGCTTCGTTTTGAGGAAGTGCCTGAAGTTTCCAGTGGAGAAAGTGCTGAAATTAGACTTCAGAAAAGATATTTTATAGACGAAGGAATTACATGTAATGCTTTAGAAGAAGCATTTATGAGGTGCAAAGAGAGAGATGACGTCTACAAGCTAGCTCTTGTTTACTTTGCTGAGTTAGTGGTTTTGGGAAGGGACAAGCATTTGAACATCAATGTAAATTACCTGACCCTTGTAGAGGACTTGGATGCGTTCAACAGGTATCCGTGGGGTTCGGTGTCGTTTGACAAAACCCAAGACAGTCTATTTTCTGCACCAACAAAGTATATGAAAAGCTTTGAAAATGAAGAGGGAAGAGAGAAGGGGAAAAGTAAGGTAACGGGAACAAGCCGGAAAAATGAGAAGGGCAAGAAGCATAAGCATGGTGAAGTGCAAAGGGGTGGGTGGAGTTTTAAAGGTTTCACGTATGCTTTCCAGGTACATGGTAATAATGTTCATGTCAGTTATGCTTTGTGAACTTTAAAACTTAAATAATGACTTTTGTCCTGTGAATTACATTGAGCCACTTCAAATGCATCTACGTGATCAGCAGCTAACTCTTTTTGACGTTGATGGGAAAGTGCCCTCTCAAATCGTATTATGAAATCCATCAACGAATTTCTCCTTGATATGTATTGCTTGAAGAAAGCATGAGAACCTTCCGCTCTTTGGCTGCTTGACATTCCAGCGGCAAAAAAGTCTCGTGCGTAGGCTGGAACCCAAGATTCCCTTAAATCAAACATTGAACTTAGCCATTGATGGTCAATCAAACCAGCCTTTGTAACCACAATATTCCACTTTGCATCAAACTCATCCTTATTGTCAGTATCCCATATGGCTTTA